GATGTTTACTGTAAAACACACGTGTCCTCTCTGAATTGTGGGTAATATTTATAATAATTTGATTTTCATGTCTCACGATGTCAGTGGAGATAAAATCTGCTCTTTTGCTTTAGTTATTTAATCTTACGATCTTTTCCATTTCAATTCAAACTGGACTCACATGAAACAAGAGCAGAAACACGAGCGTTTGTTTCAGAAGTGGAAACCCGGACAAATCAAAATAAGTTTTTTTATTAGTAATATTAGTTGAAATAACTCTGACGTCCTGACGTGTTGTTTTCTGACGCTGCTCGTCTCAGTTTGATTTTCTTCTATTTTTCTGCGGCGTGAAGAAATAAAACTGATCTTTACTTTTATTCTTCATCTCGTGACCCTCAGGTTTACTCTGCGACCCCGGGGGGGTCTCGACCCACAGGTTGGAAAACAAAAACTGTTTAATCTGATGTTGGAAATATGCAAAATAGAGAAAAACATCTTTAAACATTTTTTTTTATTATATCTCATTTTAATTATGATTCTAAATTCAGCTATTTTGTTTTGTTTTCTTCTCATTTCTTTTTTTTGATCCAATTGTTTAAATTTTTCTCTTTTTCAGGTTCTTTCTGTTCTGATTCTTTTTCTTTCTGATCTTTGTTCAGTCATGTTTTTATTACTTGTTATTGTGTGTGTGCGTGTGTGTGTGTGTGTGTGTGTGTGTGTGTCTTCGATTTGAACCATCGAACACGAGGTTTGATGAGGACGTGAAGTTTCTCTTCAGACTTAAGTTTGATTTTTTTTCTCTTTGTTTCAAACTTCATTTTCTCCACAAACCTTCTGGTGACATCATCTTAGAATGAATTCATCGTCACATCAAACAGTTCTGACGGTTTTAAAATGACTTCAATAAAAAATACATCAATACATAAATAAGAGTGTGAGTCTGTGTGTGTGTGTGTGTGTCTGTGTGTGTGTGTGTGTCTGTGTGTGTGTCTGTGTGTGTGTGTGTGTGTGTGTGTGTGTGTGTGTGTGTGTGTGTTCAGTCAATAAAGATCCATGTCCAGTTTAAAAACACATTTAAAAACAGATAATAACAATTTGAACATAATATTTGATCCGGTTCATTTTAAAGCGTCACATGATCCTGACTGAGTCAACTGTTATCACACGCTGCCTCCTGCTGGTGAAAACACGTCATTACAACCAGGACGTCAGGAAGAAATAAAGATCTGAGCTGAGGTTTGATTTTAAAAAAACGTCTTAATTAATGAAATTCCTCGCGGTGATGTCACTGCTCGTCCGTGTTGCTCTGTCCAGTGATGATGCTGCTGTATTTCCTCTGCTGCTCCTCCTTCAGAGAATCCTTCACTTTCCCTCGTTTCAGTCCTCCGTCCCTGGGGACGAAAAATACTTTAACTCTGCAGCTTCAGAACCAAAATCAGCCTGAAACTACTCGTTCGGAAGTAATCGGAGTATTTATGGGCTCCTCACCAGTCCAGGTCCAGGAGTCCGCCCTGAAGAGCGATGGCAGATTTCACTCTGTTGGCAAACTGAGCTGCGTCCTCACCGTCCTGCTCACATCGCCATGGAAACACAGATATTGTCATAGATTAGTGTTATAGAATAAATATAAATACACGTAGAGGAACGTTGATCCGTTTTTAAACCACCGAGTCCTGAAGTGTTTTTATATTTAAAACAGAAAATCTATCAGACACTTTATTTCCTTTTTAATTTGAAAATAAAATCTGATGAATCTTTGTCTCGACCGATCAGGTGTTGTGGAGGCGGGGCGTTCGTACCTGTATGGTCATGGGGGGGAGGTACCACACGTTGACGACGATGGCCCAGCTGGTCATCATGCGGAGCAGGTAACTGACCATGTTGTATTTACCGCTGTTCCAGAACGCATCGCCGAACCGAGGGTCGTACTGAAACACAGAGAGCTGAGGTCACGTCTGAGGAAGAATTCAAACACTCAGCTTTACTTTTGAAGATCTGAAGGATCTGGTCTGATGTCGTGAGTCGTCAGGTTTCTCTGTCATGTCTGAAAACGTTGTATGTGTGTTTGACGTGTGCTGAAACGTGATGTCGTGGTTTCTACCTTGATGGCGACGGGGTGGATGGTTCCTCCGATTTCAAAGCTTCCTTTCTTAAACATCATGACCGACGTGTTGTTGATGCAAGTTCCTGTTTGACACAGAGAAACAGGAAGTTGTTATCTGATCACCCCCCCCCCCCTCACACGGCCTGCGGCTGAGCGGCGTGATGCACACTGACCTTCAGGAAATATCAGGATGGGAAGTTTGTTCCTTGCTGCGACGTGAGCTCTCAGTCTGCAGAGACAGGAAGAGGTTTTCATGAGTCATCGTCCGTCGTCACGACAACGAGGATAAACCAGGAAACAGAGACGTTTTTTAAAATTCATCATATTTCAGAGGGAAAATAAAAAAACTTCTCGGCTCCTCGATAAAGACAAAGTGACTCTGACCTGCTGGTCACCGCGTGACGGTCTCTCATCTCCGACCTCTCGAACCAAACGTGGGGACACGACCTGACCATCGACCTCTGAATGACCCCCATCAGACCTCCGTGAACCTGACCCACCTGAGGACGACAGGAAGCACAGAGCCGTGACATCACGTCCTCAACACGCCGAGCCGCCGGACGGACGACACTCACCATCGCGTAGCAGCCGTCATTGGCCAGAATCACGACGTCGATCGGTGTCGTGTGATTAGAAACACAGATTCCTCCTTTCTGAGGTTTGTTCTCTCTGTGGACACAAGAAGTAATCAGATACTTTCCTCAGGTAGAAGTACCACGACAGCAAAGACAAAATACTCCATTACAAGTAAAAGTCCTGTAAAAGTACATAACATGTATTTATACATTTCTTGATTTGCTTTATTTGTGTTTTTTATTTGTTCTCAGGATTCAGGTTGAAATAGTTTTTCTGACAGAAAAAACCATCCCTGTTAAAAACCAGCTGTAACTTCAGCTTCAGTAAAGTGCTGCTGATAGTACACATAATAAATAATAATAAATAATAAAAGTACCTCCAGACACTCGGTTACTTTCCGCTCCGGACGCTCACACTGACCTGTTGTGATAGTGGACGGTCGCTGACAAACCTCTGGCACAGATTCTGTAGCAGGTCACGTGAACCAGTTCGCTGAGCCACGTCTTCGCACTGACACGCAGACAACACGTATGAACATACAAACATGTAAATCAACACTGAAAACTGGGTCGTTGTTGTTGTCGTACCTGCTTTCAGGCAGAAATCCGACCAGAGTCGTTCCCATCACGAGCCACGAGAGTCCGATGAGAGCGAGAGTGATTCTACAGGAACAGGAAAGATGCTCGTCCATGACCAGAGTTATGAAGTATTAATATA